TTTTTTTTTTTTTTTTTTAGTTTTACAATAGTTAAAATATAAAATTTAATTGCTTATTTATTTATTTTTAATATTTTGTATACAGTTGATACACTTGTGTGTGTTTTTATTAATTAAAATTATTATTATTTTTTCATATCTTACGCTTTTTAATCTAGAAAGATCTGTTTTAAGATATGACAAATGAAATAAGTTTGTTATTCTTTTTACGCCTATTTTCTAAATTAAATATTGTGATAAATTCCACATAGGCCTATATATCTTCTGTTAATCTTCAAAGAAAAAATGCACGGATCCTTTTGATTGTATTAAAAATTGCAGGATTGTAATTATGATAATTGAATTTACAAAGGTTAACGTATTCAAGAACATCTTCAATTCATTAATATTTTACTCATTTTTATACGAAAATTTTATTATATTTTCTCTTCAAAATAATATCTTTTATTCATAATTACACTCCAGTTTTTCAATGTTAAATAGTTTTCTAAATTTATTGAAAAATTCTTTAAAAACCAACAGATTTTATCCTTATTTTTAAAAGAATTAACTTATGATTTCTGTTATAATTTGTGCAAATATTTAAATTTCTATATTCTTACTACAGTTATGAGTTTATTAAAGATTGATTTAAGGACAATGCTTAACTTCAGAGCCAAAAAGTAAAGTCTACTCAAGGATCTATCCTGAAGAAGAGTAGAGGGATGTGAAAGAGGAAAAGAAAATTAAATTATATTATTATTATTATTATTATTAATATATTTACTTTATACAGAATTTATTATCAATTTGTTTCCAGCTTCAAAATCAATTTAAGTAATGCTATAACAACATCTATTATACATTATGCACAATTACAACATTATATTTATATAATATGCAATAAAGATTTACTTCATAATATATTTAGAGATATTTTGTAATAAAATTACAATTACATATATTAAATTCTATAAAGTTATATTAAAAAATATAACAATTATAATTGTCTTTGCTCTTTATTTATTTAAATTATCTTATTTATCACACATTCAAAGCATTAAATACTTTGATAAGTAACTGAAATGCAATACTTAAAGGAAAAATTTAATTGAAAAACATCAGACAATGCTTACAATCGCTTCGATTTTCTAGAATTATTCCTTTTGAAGGTCAAAGAAATATAGTTTTTCGTTCTCTGTACATATTGTTGAATATTATAATGAATTTTATCTATGAATTCAGAGCTTAATATTAACTTTAAATATTAATTTTCATATTAAAAAGTAACTTGATTCGGTCAACTGACTTTCGAGCCACCCTATATTCTTTTCCTGTTTTAATTATTAAAGAGATAAATATAAAAATATCAAGCATTAAAAACATATTTTAATCGTTAATACTTTTAATAATTACAATTATTCAAGTAAATCTGTGTAGAAATTGTAAAATTAAGTGTAACTTCACTATTACAAAGTGAATAGTGAAGTTTTTTTTTTACAGTAATGTTCACTAACTTAACAATATTTCAAATTTACTGTTCGATACAGCTGTTCACTTCTGTACAAAAGTGGTACAAAAATAGAAATGTAATAATAAAGGAAAAACAAATTCGAAAGTTATCTGAAACTAAAGATATATCTGGGAAGGATTTATATTATTATCTAAATTTTAGCTCTTTATTACTTAAATATACTTTTTTTTTGTCTTTGTTTACGTACTGTTGGAAAGTAGTTTTATAAATCCTATTTTTAAATTGCCTTCCAACAATGTGGTAAATATATGTGACAGTATATTAAATTGTTTGCCAACAAAATCACACATATTGTTGAAAAGCAATTTTTGTACGTTTTATTGAGAAATTGAGAAATAGCTTTCCAACAATATGACAAATACAGCAATATAACAACTTTCCTTCCATCAAATTTCGAATTGTTATAAAGTCATTTTAAAATTTAAGATAAAAATTACATTACAATCGAACACTTGGACGATCTGACTAAGAGGAATGACTTCTGGGAGGTCTTTTTAAGGAAAACTGGCCCGTATTTAGGCATTAGGACGTAGAGAAAACCCGGAAAACTCCAGGTGACAAGTCCGTCCGAGCGAGGTGCGAACCCACGACCGAACTTTCAGTGTTTAGGGTACGAAGACAGCTCGGTCACTCGTGGGTACCCGAGTGTATAAAATGATTGAACATTTGGTAGCTGGGTTTGAACCTCACCAAAGGGTGATCACATGGCGTTTTCCGAGTTTTATTTAGGTTTATAACATCTAAATAGGTGCCAGATACTTATAGAAAGTCTTTTGGGAATCATTCCTCCTTGACAGATGCTAGTATTCCACGAATTGGAATTTATTTGGATACGTGATGCCCCGAAGATCCCGAGGAGAAGGTAGTGAGCACGTTGCTACTCTAGGCCTATGTCCAGAAATTGACTATGAGANTTACTTTCTTTAGTTAAATACTTTAAACTGGTTAGCAAGTCGTTCATCATTATAAAATCAACTGAAATGAATTTACTGAATGGACAGAAATCCATTTTGCTTTCGAGTTATTCCTGAATGGTGATGCCTTCCTGGTTTATTATTTATTAGGATTAATTGTAAAAAAGCGATTTGTGTTTATCAACACTTCTCTGTCTTGACAGACGTCGTTTTAAAGTAATCTTATTTTCTATCATGTTAGAAAATGCTTGGTTACTTCCAGAGATTGGATCTCGGAAATAAATCCCATTTCCTTTGATACGAAAACATTGGAAAATCTCTAGAGGATTGTAAAGACACATCTTGAAAATTAACGAATGATATTTGACAAATGCACAAAATCTACTCGGTAAATGTTTGCATGAAACACTTTCGTTGCGTATGTTACAAGGTTAAAGAAAAAAAATAAAATAAAATCGTTAATGTCAGAGTAACAGAGGGGAAAAAAAAGAAGAGAAAAAAAAATCGTTAATATAATCAAGTGCAGTGACTCGAAAGAAAAATTTTTAATTTCACAAAAATTACTATCTTTGATGAAAGTAATTTAATAATAAAACTTTCCTTTAATTTTTATAATTTTATTATTATACAATTTACGATCATAACAATCGAATTTTCTTTATTAAATGAACTTTTAATTAATATTATTCGCTGACATAATAAAATTTATATATGTTGTCATCTACATACTAAAATCAAGCTATCCCTTTAGGCTTTTATATATAATAAAACTTTTATTTTTTACTTAAAATTATATAAAATAAAAATTAATTTTTAGTTTCCTTTTATAAAGATGTCTTAATTATTTATATTTCATATTATAATGTTTGAAATTAAATGTATTTAAGGCATAAATTTCTGCTATAACTCTAGAGTAACTTTAGCCTTTTATCTAATAGGCTATAACTGTTAGCAAAGATCTATTGGTAATACTAATATATATATATATATATAGGACACTACTGTACAGATGTAACTGTTTCCTACAAGCTTCTACGAACAAGGAAAATCACGATATTTAATTGTTAATTGCTAATCATAAATATCTGAAATGCTAATTCATATACTAAATAACGTTCTAATGAATCTAATATTAATATATAATAATACATAAAATTATTCTGTTATAGTGTTTAGACTACAATTTATGAATATATAATAAAAAATATGTTTAATATAATAATAAATCTAAGAAGAATAGTCTATATAAAATAAATTAAAACTTAATTCATAAATAAAGCAAACAAACGATAAAGAAGAATAACAAAAATCTATTTTTTTA